AGTTTTATCATTATTTTTGTCAATATTATAAATAGTGTTTTCACATTTTAATTTTCTATATTTGGTAGGTAGTTTGTATAAAAATATTTTATATTAGTATACTGGTTTTGTATTTTTAAACCTAGCAACACTCACCTTATAATTTCCAGTGATTTTTGTAGACTGTCGAATTTTCTATAGATGATCGTATTATCTGAGAATAAGGACAGAATTGCCTTTTCCTTTCAATCTGGTAAACTTTATTTTTTTCTCGCTGGATTACTGGCTAGATCTTTCATAACTATTGAATGGAAATGGTAAGACAGAACATCCTTTATTTTTTTTAATAACTGAAAGAAAGCCTTTTGAATTTGAATCGTTTCTAGGCCCTATCAGCTGATGTAAGAAAATCTATTTTCAGTGAACACACAGAATTTTGGTCCACTTTTCTAAAGTTTACTACTTGCAAAGGAATGGCTCCTACCACCTACAATCCTAATTAAGGTCAACCAGTTCCTTTTTCTTTCCCAAATCCTGGGATCAACAAGATATTTATAACATGTGAACGGAAGGGCCCCTAAATATGTGAGAGAAAGTGCACAGAAATAAAGTTCTCTTTACACTCTTAAGAAGGAGCTACTTACTCTCCTAATCCTTTGGTCAGCCTACAAGAACATTTGCCATATTTAAAGAAAACCTTTCCCTTTGAACCTCAGGGGTTTTCTCAGGGAAGCAGGAACTGTTATTTCCGAAAGGAATGTTGTACAGCACGGCTACTTCCCTGTATTCCCCACATGACCCGCCTCACACAGAGCTGGGGTGGGGAGAAAGGTTAACAGCTAGGGAGATTGGTTATCTTACTTGACATTTCTTCTCATTCCCATTGATCCAGCTGAGGAGTTCTTGAACTTCTCTGTAAGTGAGGAGCTGGGTCGGGTAAGACAGATGGCCCGAGGCAGATAAGACCCAGGGGGATTCTGTGCTCTGCCGAGAGGCTTTAAAGTAGCTCACCTGTGACTAGAGACAATTTGAAGACAATTTGATATGATCAACTCAAAAATATGGGGAAGGCAAAAGATAAGAGTGGTTATAAATTCTAAGATAGAGAAGAAACGAGCAAGTTTTCTAAGCAAGTGACCCAGAAAATGCAAGAGAATCAAAGCAAGAAAGAGAAGAGTTTGGGGAATGACATACATCATGACTGCTTAACTCAATTGAATTAATTAATTTTTAAAAATTTCAAGCTGTTATCAGCTAATTTTAGATTTAAATTATGTTTTTAAATGTTTAAAGATCTATGCTCTATAATAATATATTGTAACATATATGTGTACATATTATAATATGTGTATATGTTCAAATAGAGTGATATATGTTTGTATGTATATATATTATAATATGTATACTATATTATAATATTTTTTGTATCTTAGAGCCATTTTGTTCAATTACAAAATTATTCATTAAGAGTCAAATGAAATCATTCAAACAAGTTAATAGAATCGCAATTTCTGTCTTTTATACATTCAAGTATTTTCCATCTAAAAACATAGTATAGCTCTGTATTTTTTCCAAGTTCTTTTATGTATAAAGAACACATCAGAAAGCCGGGAACAAAAGCTTCTAAGAAGGTGTAAATACAAAGTTAATTACGAGAAAAAAAGATAAATTTTCTTAAATGTCAAAAGTATTTTAGAACATAAAAATGAAAGAAACAAATCATGTGGAAAAATACATAGGAAATATACTATAATATATTTATACATTATATGTTACATGTAATATATAAAATATAATATGCAATATTGACTGGTATCAGTAGTCATGATATATGGGAATAAACCTAACTCTGTAACTAAAATTTTAAAAAACTTCATATGGCTTACAAAGTAAGATCCAACTAAATGCTACTTCTAAGAGATACTACTATAGCAAAATGATTCTTATTTTAAGAATAAAATAAATGGCAAAGGTGTAGTTTGTCAGTCAAGAGTCCTATATGCTGTAAAACTGTCCCTCAAAAATCAAGGGAACTAAGCCATTCTCAGAATTAAAAAAAAAGAACCCTTTGCTCTTAGGCTTGTCTACAAGGCATTCTACGAGAGTTCAGGCTACAGTGAGAGGATGTAAACAGGAACACGAATTCTTCCAAATAAACATGAGTAAAGGTAACTGCATATTTAAATATAAAAATGATTTAAATATATCATTTTCATAACACTTTCCTTCTCCAGTAGGATGGAAAAGCAAATTGTAAAGACCAACAATTATAACACTGGGAAAAATATTTACAAACTATATATTCAATAAGAAACTTGTATCTAGAATATGTAAGAACTTTTATAGCTCAACAATAAAAAATATCTTTTTTCTCAACAATAAAAAAAATCAGATTTGTAAATGGACAAACCGTAACTTCAATAACAAACTGTGAGGGGAGAGAAATAAAAGTTCAGAGTTTTTGTATGTGATTGGAGTTAAATTATTACCAGTTTAAAGTACATTGTTATGACTAAAAGATGTTTTTATGTAAACCCTTGTGCCTGTAGAAGAAACAGAAAAGAAGAAAAGAAAGGAATCAGAACACATCACAAATAGAGTGAAGGGTTTCAGTACTCCTCTTTCAGTGATGGATGGAACATCCGGACAGAAAGAACATCAATAAGAAAACAACAGACTTGAACAATACTACAGACTAAAAGGACCTAACAGATGTATTTACTACCTTCCACCCCAGAGAATCAGAATACACATTCTACTAAGTCCACATGGAACATTCTCCAAGATAGACCACATTTTAAGTCACAAAACAAGCAGTAATAATTTGGGAATATTGGAATCAGACCAAGTATTTTTTAAACCATCTGTATGTAGCCATCCAGCTAAGTCTCTTTTATTGATGTGTGAGTGAGGAGCTTTCTGGGGCAACAGAAGTATTCTGTGTCTTGCCTGGAGGCTAGACATGGAGGCTAGCCTGGAGGCTAGACATGGAGGCTAAGTAGATCATGAGAGATGCCTCACAAATACTTTTCAATTATCTTCTTAGACAGGAGGCTGGGGAACACTTTGATCTAATAAACCCAGAGGTATGACAAGGGGTTACAGATTCTAAGAGAAGGTATGTGAAAACTTCCCAAGCAGGTGTATTGGAAAGAAGCAAGGGCATCAGCAGAAAGCAAGAGATTGGAGATGTTAATTCAACAGGGGTTTAAATCCTTAGTTTTAAAAATGAGATGAATATTAGAATCACCTAGAGAAATTTTGATGTGCCATTTCACTGTCAGGATTGTGACTCGATTGCTCATAGATGAGTCCTGGGCGTTGATACGTTTTAAAAGCTCCTGCGTGGAAATAAAGCGCAGCCAGGTTTGAGAAACCCTGAGAGAGAGCCCAGGGTGGGAACTTGTGGAATAAGAGGGAAAAAAGGCTGGGGATTGAAGTTCACATCACATGGGACATTGCCCTATATTGTGTGTTAAATAAATTTATCTTTGCTTCATAGGTACATGAGAGATACTGAAGGCTTTTGAAGTAAGGGAGAAAGTTGACCAATTTTTCCTTCCTAACTAATCAATCAGCTTTCCAAGACTGGTTCAGTGGAAAGAGCTTAGGGAGCTCAATTCAAATCCCATCTACCTATGAATAAGTCAGACTGCATATCTAGACTTTGTAATGCACATTTTCTGTATTTTAAATGAGTAAGAATTTCTGTCTCATAGATTTGTCACCAATTGTAGAGGTAAAACATTTAAACTGTCCGCACTTAAACTGAGGACTCACTCCAAACCTATCAGCAATTTTTGGCACTGAAGGAAACTAGGATTGAGAAAGAGAGTTTGAGACTGGCCATGTTCAAAGCCACTTTAATGAAAGAACACAAATTCAAGTCTAGAAAATGATCCTTTAATATTCTAAAGTGAAATTATGCCTAAAATTGTGTTTTCACAGGGGTAGTAGAGAGTAAAGGGGGCCCAACATATGATTGATAACAGAAGATTATTTGACTTTGGGTGGTGTGCATATAATACAATACATAGATCATGTATCAGAAATGTACACTTGAAACCTATGTGATCTTACTAACCAATGTCACCAAAAAAACTTTAATTTTAAAAAAATATATTTTCCCCAAACCTCAGAAATCTAACATCTTTGTGTAAATTCTGTAATCCATTTAATTTTAGACATGTTATAGGTCTAAGAGTCTACGAGGTGGGACCCCCTCACCCCAAAAAATGGAGTTATCATCTGGAGGGTGGGCCCCTTATAGTACAGGCCTCCCTGACTAGAAGAGTATTCTAGGAGCCCATCTGTAATCCATGTACCAGCTGGTGTCGTTGTGAGAGGTTGTGTACAGCTTAAGTGAATTTTCTTTAAGACTCTTTGAGGCATTTGCCCATTTCATGATGGGTGATTTACAAGCACACCTGTGTTCAGCAGGATTTGACCAAAAAGGGCCTGACCCCCATGCCCCACTCTCTCTATTCACCCATTCTTGTCCTGAGCTGCTCCTTTTCATTTCCCTGGATGAAAAAGGTCCTCAGAGGGAAACGTTTTACCAGTGTGGAAGAAGTGAAACAATACAGCAGAAGCACTAAAGGGTATCTAAATCTCTGACTTCAAAACCTCTTTTGAGCAGTGGAAAAAAGTCTTGGCAGGTGTATTGCATCAGATGGAGAGTACTTTGAAGGTAACTGAAGTTTAAATGTGTAAGATAAATATACAATTTTTTTACAAATAAATCTTGGTATTTCTGGTCCCCCCTGTAAATCAGTATTGTCAGGATTAATGATCATAATGTTAATCTTATGCACTTGTTAGAAATTCTAGTTCTTAAACTCAACAGTTGTAGTTTCTGACCCTTTAGGAAGGAGAAAATTTCATACCTCTGTGCTTTTTATACATATCCACTTGATACAATATTTGGAGATTAATTCTTCAGTTTTTTTTTACTTATCATTACCAAAAGTATGCATTTGTGTTAACCCACTACTTGACCAAAGAAATAAAAAGTACTTTAATAAAGATAATGTCATGTAACATTTTATTGAGCAAAATATTTAGGATTTTAATTCCATTAGGCTTAATCTTAGCACACATACATTTAAGGTATTACTCTTTCAAACTGTCATTGAGTAATTGAACATAGAGAATAAAACCCCTGAAACTCCAAGATCTTAGAATTGGAAAGAATCTTGAGTGTCCAATATTTCATCTTGTGTTCAATATGAGGATTCACCTGGATTTTGTAGCAATATAAGATCCTGATTGTGGAAACTCTAATCATGGCAAAATATGATCACAATAAATCCCTAGGAATATATAACTCCATCAAAGGTCAGCATTCACCATAATGAACCAAATTAAGTTTGCCACCATTTTCTCTGCAGAGAAAGAAAGAGAGAAAGAAAAATTACTACATGAACACAGTAACCTCTCTAGAAATGTACAAAGTGCTTCTTACTGCAGATGATTAGACCTAGGGACATGATGAAGGGATAGTGCTCCGATTCTGGAAGCAGCTGGGACCCCCTGCCCCCAGGCCCTACACATCTCACACCTCCCACTATGGGAATACTTGACTTTTTCTACTGGCTGACTATGCACTGCTGGGCCTGGGGCCTGCCCGGGCCTGAGAGAGGAGAGAATTAGGAATTGTGAAAGGTATGACAATTGAGGATCTCAAATGTAAAGATTTTATGAGAGGAAACATCTACAAGAAAAAAACGTGGATAAAGCAGGAAAGCCTGGCAGAGCCATCAGACCACAGATGCCTTAAGCGTGGAGGAGAGAAGGAAGAGAGTTTTGGTGCAAGTCTCCTGCAGAATGCTCTGCAGTTTCTGAAGGGTTTGGAAGGTGATCCTGGAGTGCGGGGGACAGAGTGGATCTTCACAGAAGTGTCTTTCTAGCACGGGTGCACTCACTGAGGTTCTCAGAGTATGGCCGAGATCTGTTTAGCATCAGGGTTTTGGAATCACATCATATCGGTTGCAGTCATTGATTATGAATTACTAATTGGTGTGTATATTTGTATAATACCCAGGATGGTTATGTTCTGAGAGCCCAAGTGCAAACAACTTTGAGAAATGAGAATTTCAAGGAAAGGTACAGGGTTCCTTTGTCTTTTACAGCAACATCAGTTATTTTCTGTGTATTCTGTGCTTGAGTATATCAGCAACGTGGATGTACTAAGTTTTCTAATTAGTTGTTCTCTTCTAGGAAAGAGCACATATCTCCTCCTGTGGTCTTACTTCAGAGCGAGGCAGAAAGTACATTTGTTGGAATAGGTGCGGCCATTGGTTGCACAGACTGGGAAATAATCTTTGGTGCACATTTCTAGAGAACGGCTATATAGACTACATGCCATCTGTAAAACAGACAAAACATAACCTTATCAGATAATCAACATTTTAATGACATGTGCTTCATTCTGACATGAAATGTCATACATTCACAATGGGGTAAATACCTGTATTAGGAACAAAGACAACACCTGTTTACATACAACACAGTCAAGTTTTTAAATTATTAATATTTTTATAGATAGTTCCCTATTAAGAAAAGGTGATGAATTGGTCTAAAGTATTTTTACAATGTAGCTAACCCATATCTATATCTAAGATCCTTCCCCACTAGATCATAACTGCTGCATCCCCCCTTACGGGAAGGAACCACCCAGCTGAATGATCTGTTTATTATTTCCTATATTCATCTATAATTCCGCTGCATACCAATACATATCTTCACTCACATATATGTATTTATGCATGCCATATTTATACATGCATTCACATATATATCTTAGTTTTGGATATCTTGGTAATTTACAGAAGGAAATCAATAATATGTGTATCCTTATATGATTTGCATTTTAATATTCCTTTGTGACCTTTATATATACTGATACTTAGAACTGTATGTAGTTCATTTATTTCCACTTCTATGTGGCATTCTACTACGTGACTATATGGATATTATTAGTTTTTAACATTAAATTGATAATTGGGTGGTACATTTTTTCCATGTGCTTTACAAGGTTGAATAATTCTACTCTGACACCCATTTCTCTTTATTGTATTTGTGTACAATAGCATCTGATTGCAAATTAGTGCAGTCTTGGGGTAAAAAGATATGTTTATTATTATCTTGAATGATGATCTAGGTAATGGTAAGTGGTTTTGCCTTGCTAGCTAGATTCTATTTCTTGAACTTGGTATAAGAAAATACATATTTTTACTTTTGAAGACCATTCCCTTATACATTTAGTTTTGTAAATTTTGTGTTAAGATTTTTAGTAAAAATAAGTAAAAATTTTACCTCTTTCTACTTTCAGATCAATCATTAATAACTTACCAGATACCTGAAAATTGCTGGTTTTGTCAAGAAACTTTCTGCAACAAAAACAGAGACAAGTAAGTTTTAAAAATGAAAAGAACATAGTCTCTACTCAGAAGTTCCCACATCTGTATGCAGCAGGAATTGCTGTCCATTTCCTACTTACTAAAACTAGTAAGTCAAGAGTTTTATGATAGCAGTAAAAATAATAAACTCTCAAAATGAATCAAATCTTTAAATTTTTAATTTTCAAATTAATTTGGCTCTGTAGAAAAACGGTGTCATAAACTATGTTTAATCGTCCCTCATACTTTGCTTGGAGATATTTTTGTATAAATTTTTAAATGAGCCATTCTAGTATAAGGGAAGAAGATGCCTTGCATGCATTTACTTAAATTAAAAAATATCAGCACCCTATACCCTATTTGGGGGTTCCAACTAATACCTCACAACTATCTTATCCTGAAATTCATAGACAACCTTGAGCCTCAAAGGAAGATAAGTGGTCAGCAAAAGGATCAATTAGTTCTCTCTCTGTCCAAAGCATTAACTTGAGTGGACTCAGAGCTGGCAAACAACAGAGCAGATTGTCAAGCAGATGGCTCCGGGAGACACACAGGTGGGCTGTGTCTCCTTGAGGACGGTAAGTAGGTCAGGAGGGGTTCCTCGAAAATGTCAAACCTAGAAGACATTCCTCCCCACATTTTGCATTAACACTCATGGAACCTGGGCCCCAGAAGAAAACTAAAAATAAAGTCCTTGAGTAATAGATGAACAAAGTCCTAAAACCTACTACCCATTCTAACCTCCCAGTCAGTTTGAACTTATAATGTGGGAAATGAGAAAACATGATCCCCTGATGTAATTTTAAAACAGCATTTGGGACGTGGTCCTGTATCATGTTATTAGTTTATGGTTTCCAGACTCCATAAAACCAGCTCATCTTTTCCAAAATACAGCATTTTCTAGGATATGTAAAGTGCTTTGCCCAGGAGTAGAAATGTACTCACCAGAACAAAGAGGCATGGCCAAAGCAATAATGAAAATGGCTCTGATCCTTGATGAGAAGAGGAACATTGTGTCAGTCTGTGAAGGAAACCTTTAGGAGTGTTTGTTAACAATGGTACGTGCCACGCCACTCTGGGGAAACACAAAGAATCCAAAGGTCAGTTTCAGAGACTTTCTTACTTCCTCCATGAACTGCTCCAGCCTCCTGGATACCTATTACCTTTACCGCTGCCACCCCTAAATTCAATAAAGTATGAAGTGCCATCTTTGGAAAGTCCACCTTCACCCCAGAGAAGTAATAGAAAGCCCAGGAAGATAAAACTGTTAACCAAATGGAAGGAACCGCTTACTCTCCCACCTCTACTGTCAGTCCAGAAAAAGTCCAGTTGCCTTCAAAAAAAAAATGCACCTTTGAATCTCAAGATATTTTCCTCAGAAAGTTGGAAAGACACACCTGGAGAAGTCCTCATAGCAGCTTTGCACAGCAGGGCTGCCTCCCTGGGTTTCCTGCCTGACCTACCTCCCACAGAGAGAGAATGGGGATGTGGCCCACGGCTCCGGCTCCGGGACTGGCTCTCCTTTTATCCTCTATCTTCTCCTTGCAGCTGAGCCTCTTCAGTGGCTCCCCTGGTGGGGAGTCAGGTGGGGGTGGGGGTGTAGGCTGATGGCTCCGGGAGACACACAGGTGCGCTGTGTCCTCCTTGAGGATGGTAAGTAGGTCAGGAGGGGTTCCTCGCAAATACTTCTCAATAAATGGTCCCTCTGTGGGAGGTCTGGGGACAGCTTGATCTGATAAGTGTGGGGAAATGTCAGGGATCCGAAGATGGAGGAGAGATGTGAAAGCTTTGCAAGTGACGGGGGTGGAGAAAGGATGAGAGAAGCAAGCAGGAAAAAGAGTTTGGGAATAATGATTAGATAATGAAGAGCCTAAGTCCTTAATACTTTTTAAAAATTACAGGCGTATTAGAGTTTAAACTTTTAAAGGCTATGAGTGTACTGTCCTGCCCTCCTCAAAATGGTGAGTTGATTATTAGTAAATGGGGCCTGGGCACTGGAGCATTGTGAAAGCTCCCCAGTGAGCCTCAGGTGCAGCCAGATTGGGGGGAACTTGTCCACAGGGCGGGGAGTGGACTTCTGTTTGGGGGGCCCGCATTGACATGTAGCATTACACAGATCATGGTGTGCAGAGTCTCAGTTTGATACGTTACATATTGCAGTATGATTCTCACTGTAGAGCTAGCCCACACCTACATCACATCCCTTAATCATTTTTTCTAGTCTCTTAGCGACTTTATAGTTTATAGCACAGTATTGCTGGCTCTAATCACTATTCTGTGCATAAGATCTCCAGAACTTACTGTTTGGAGCAGGAGAGAGGGAAAGCTGGGGAGTGAAGTTGAAACCAGACTGGGACTGTGGCAGACTCCAGCCAGCAGAGTCCGCCTGTTGAGACTGAAGACAGAAACAAATGCACAGGCTACAGCAGTCCTGTGGGGAAAAGGGGGGCTGCACGGCCACTCTCTCGAGGGGAGAGTGCACCAACCCTTGCCTAGACAGGCTTTTCTTGTTTTTCTCAGGTTTTACATCAGAGAAAGACTTATTGCCTGTTACGGAGAATATTGTCATCTACATTTTAGGTACAATCAAAGAAATGAAAATAACACATGCAGAAGGGAAAGAGGGTGAGCTGATTAGCTCCATCCTTGGGAAAACTCACACAGGCTTTGGAGAATACCTTGAAGATAAGCAGTAAACATCTACTGTTTCAGGCCAGGGCGAGGGGGTTTTAGCAAGAGCAAGCCATAACAGTCTGGATGCATTTTCTAGGCCTGATTCCCACGGGAAAACCCAGTTTGAGGGTCGGGCTCCTGCCCACCACTTCGCTTCTGTAGGTTTTCCATACAGAGCTGAGTCACATATACCAGACTGAAACAAACTGGTCCCCTACAGGGACAAAAAAAATGCCTTAAATTTTATGGTAAAAAATGTTCTTCAGAAATGAGGGAAAAATGAAGGCATTTCCAGGTACACAAAAACTGAGGATATTCATCTCCATGAGACCTACCCTACAAGAAATGATAAAGGGAGTCCTTCAATTTGAAGTGAAAAGGACAGTACAAAATAATCTGAACTGGCATGAAGATACAAAGTTCTCCAGTGAAGGTAAATACATGGACAATTATTGTATGATTTTTCCGCCGAGGAAGAAAGTCAAATCAGCCACAAAGGAGGCAAAAGCAGGATTTTATTGGGGCTGCACTTCTGGGCAAGGTTCTCTGGTCCACAGGAAGGGGGCCAGAGAATTCACGCCCAGGGTGTGGGGGGGGAGAGGATATTTTATACATCGGGGTGGGGTAAGGCTTGTCGTATCTTAGGTGGATTGGGCGCTGTAGCCTCTGTGGCAGACTGACAATGGCTGACCACTTAGGCACTTGTTGCCGGGAAGATTTTGGCGGTTGCTTAGCTTGCAGTTTTCTTTGTTTGACGCTTGCTGTGGGCATTAACCATTGCATATGCTGTCCAACCCAACAATTATGAGATCTTACTTTATTATAATTTTTATAAATCCACTTTTTATTCCTTTATAGCATTTGGAAAACCAGAGGAAAAAAATGAATGTTAAATATAGGGTGGGGCAAGAGTAGGTTTACAGTTGTGACTCTGGGAAACAACATTCATTCCTGAAATATTTCCATTAATTATTGTATTACTTTCCATATGAGCAGCTGTAAACCTACTTTTGCCCCACCCTGTATATGTTAATTTGTAGACAATATAAAAAGATGTATTTGTGACAACACTAACATAAAGTAACAGAGCAGAGCTATGATAAATGTGTTTTTGTATGCAGTTGAAGTTATCAACTTCAAAGATTATTGTACAGTAGTGTGTGTATATATGTATATGTTCTAACCATAATATGTCATATGTAATCTCCGCAAAGAAAATATCTATAGAATATACACAAAAGCAAATGAGAAGGGAATTAAACTGTGCCACTCCAAAACTTCAACCAAACCCAAAGGAAGGCAGTCAGGGAGGAAATGAGAAACAGGAGAATATAAGACAGAGAGAAGTCAAATTTAAAAGGCAACAGTTATTTCTTCACTGTTAGTACCTACTTTAAATAGGAACAGATAAAGTTCCCCAATCAAAACAGAGACTGGCAGGATGAAACAAACCAGAAAGGACACAAGTCTATTCTACCCACAAGGGACCAGTTTTGAGGCCAAGAACAAACAGGTGGATCTGGATTATTTGGTCTCTTGGATATGATACCAAAAGCACAGGCAACAAAAGAAAAAAAAGATAAACTGGCCTGTATCAAAATCAGAAAAAAATAAAATTATTTGCATCAAAGGTACAACAGAGAGAGAGAAAAGGAAACAAATACAATGGGGAAAATGTTTGGAAGTCTTATCTGATAGCATCTGGAACATATGATGAGCTACAACTCATTAAAAAAGCCTGGCTAAACACAGGTGAAAGATTCTAACAGCGGCTTCTCCAAAGAAGATCCACAAATGACCAGCTAGGGAATGACAAGATGCTCAGCATCACTAAGCATTAGGGAAAGGAAAAGAAATAAACTTGTATGTACTCTTTATGCCCATTACAATTACTGTTATATAAAAAAACAACAGAAAATAATAAATGTAAGGAAGGAAGTGGAGAAATCGGAACCCTCGTACTGTGGGTAGGAAGGCAAACTGGTATGACCAGCACAGAACACAACAGTCGAAAAATGCAGCATAGACTTACGGGCAGTTCCAGCAATTCCACCTCTAGGTGTATTTTCAAAAGTCGAAAATGGAGATCTCGAAGAGATATTACACTCCTGTCAATGCAAGGAACCCTGTGTAGCTAACATAAAAGTGAAAAAAATTGGGGGATTCAGATAACCAGATTTTAACACATACTGCAAGCTGTAGCGATAAAACAGAATAGTGTGCCCTTGGCATAAAGACCGAAATGTAGAAAAACGGGATAAAATAGAGTCAAAATAAATTCATACCTATATGCTCAATTAATTCGAAGACTTAATTTTTTTTAGAGGTTTTTAGGTTTACCACGAAACTGGGGAAGGGGTGCAGAGGTCACCCACGCAGCACATGCACAGTCATCCCGTCATCAGACTGACTGGCACTTTTTTTTTTACCTACGATAAACCTACATGGACACATCACAGTCACCCGAACCAAGGCTGTCGTGTCCCTGAGGGTTCACTGTTGGTGGCGTGTATTCTGTGGGTGTGGACAAAGTTGAATGACCTGTATCAGGCATTGTACATACCATACAGGGTATTTTCACTCTCCTAAAAATCTCTGTGCTGTGTATATTGGTGTTTTAGTGTGGGGAACCAAGCCCCCAGGAAGGGGTCAAGAGTTAGGGTCCTGCATTGTGAGAATGATGCTTGGGCCTGTTCCTTGGCCTCGGGGGAGGTGACCTGACATTACCCCGGCCTTGTTTGTTATCTGATTGTTCCCAAGAGAAGGACGGGGAGGTGCCGGAGCCTTGGGGCGACGCGTCGTGTCCTTGGAGTTAATCTAAACCAGAATGTTTGTCATGTCTCGGGATGTTCTGTACGTGACCTGGAGGGGTGTGTAAACTTTCTTGAACAAAGACTCTCTTCGTGTAGCAAGCATTCTATTTTTAGAACATCTCACTATATAATGACAGGAGTTTTCAATAAACTTGCCTTTTGCCACCAGAGCAACTGGTCGCTCTCTCTTTTCAGTCCGTCACTGCGCGTCTCGAACCCACTGCCTCGCTGGCCGCGGCATTTTAGTGTAAAAATTCATATTGTCTGATAGTCGTGATTGTAAGATTGACCTGGGGTTCAAGTTCCCAGAGCTTTCTTCTAGAGGTTTTGATTCCCTCAGATAAAGAAGAGCCCAAGTGTCAATAATTTTAATGAACACTCAAAAAATGTATTCTTTTTCTCCTTTGAAAGTGTTTACCTAATTATGGTTTCCAAAAGTAGTCATATTTTAACTCAAAAATCAACCAGGAAAAGAAATGATTTATTTTAATAAAGACATTATTTAACATTGTATTGATTGAAATATTTATGATTGCAAATCACATTACATTTTATGTTATCAAACACATCA